TTCTCCCTGGTGAGCGGCTCGGCCGCCACGGCGCCCCGCCCGCAGGTGGCGCAGCCCGCCGCCCTCCGCCCGTCGTCGCCGCCGCGGCCAGCCCCGCGCTCCGCCGTGGGCCGCTGCCCGCGGGAGCACGGAGGCGGCTCCCTGCACGTCTGCCTCGGGGCACCGCGCGCGAGGCCCCCTCGGACGCCCGCCGCGGCGAGCTCCGTCGTCTCCCCAGGCGCCGACTGCGCGGCGCCCGCGGCGTCGCCGCGGGCCGAATCGCGGACCTCGGCGCCGAGGCCGCCCTCCGAGCCGAGAGCAGGCGCTGCCCCGCGAGTCGACGAGGCGCCCAGCGCGCCTCGAGGCGCCTCCTGCGAGCTCGTGGCCGCGGCCGCCCGCGTATACGACACCGCGCGCGGGCCTCACGAGGCGGCGGGGCCGCGGTAGGGGACGCGGCGGCGGTGGGCTTCCCGCGGCAGCCCATCGTGGGGCGGGTGCCATTTGGCCTGGAACACATACTGAGGGATGGGCTTCGGGGGGCCCTCGCCGGGCCTCGGGAGCGTCAAGAGACGAGTCGGGATGGAAGGCCGGTCCTGGGAAAGGGGTCGGGACGTCCACGGGCCCCGTGTGGAGCAAGAATCCGGACGTCCCACGTTTTGGGGGCGTAGCTGCCCTGATGCGCCCGTTTTGAAGCGCAACGCGTGCTGTGTGCAAAACGTCCGTATGGCGCGCTCCTCCATCGTGCTGTGGCCCACCGGGACGGTCCGCCCCCCCTGCGGTGCAGGAGGAGGGCCCACGGGGCGGGGCCACGCACGCCAAGGGCTCCCCGTGCCCACCGCTCCTGGAGAGGGTTCAGGGTTGCATCGAAGCCCACGTGGGCACAGTCCTCCTCCTCCTCCTCCTCCTCCTCCTCCTCCTCCTCCTCCTCCTCCTCCCTCCTCCTCCTCTCCTCTTCCTCCTCCGCCTCCTCTTCCTCCTCCTCCCCCCTCCTCCTCCTCCCCTCCTCCTCCTCCTCCTCCTCCTCCTCCTCCTCCTCCTCCTCCTCTCCTCCGCCTCCTCCTCTCCTCATCTTCTCCTCCTCTCCCTCCTCCTCCTCCTCGCCTCCTCCTCCTCCTCCTCCCTCCTCCTCCTCCTCCTCATCAGCATCAGCATCAGCATCAGCATCAGCATCAGCATCAGCATCAGCATCAGCATCAGCATCATCATCATCATCATCATCAATCATCATCATCAATCATCATCATCATCATCATCATCATCATTCATCATCATCATCATCATCATCATCATCATCATCATCATCATCACATCATCATCATCATCATCATCATCATCATCATCATCATCATCATCATCATCATCATCATCATCATCATCATCATCATCAATCATCAATCATCAATCATCATCATCATCATCATCATCATCATCATCATCATCATCATCATCATCGTCATAATCCTCATCCGCATCCTCATCCTCATCATCATCCTCATCCTCATCCTCATCCGCATCATCATCAGCATCATCACCACCACCATCAGCAACATCATCAGCCTCATCATCATAAGCATCAGTATCAGCACCATCATCATCAGCATCATCATCACCATCATCAGCATCAGCATCATCATCAGCATCATCATCACCATCACCATCACCATCACCATCATCAGCATCATCAGCATCATCAGCATCATCATCATCATCATCATCATCATCATCATCATCATCATCATCACCATCATCATCCCCGTCCTCCTCCTCCTCCTCCTCCTCCGCCTCTTCCTCCTCCTCCTCCGCCTCCTCCTCCTCCGCCTCCTCCTCCGCCGCCTCCTATTCCTCCTCCTCCCCCTCCTCCTCCTCCTCCGCCTCCTCCTCCTCCTCATCCTCCCCCTCCTCTCCTCCCCCTCCTCCTTATCCTCCTCCTCCGCCTCCTCTTCCTTACCCTCCACCTCCACCTCCACCTCCACCTCCTCCTCCTCCTCCTCACCCTCCACCTCCACCCTCACCTCCACCTCCACCTCCACCTCCACTTCCTCCGCCTCAAGGCCGCCCACGGCAACGACACAATCGAATTGCTCTAGTGTTCTTGTTAGGGGAGGGGGGACCGCTCGGTGCTGTGGCACTGCCCTCGCCTTCTCCCTGGTGAGCGGCTCGGCCGCCACGGCGCCCCGCCCGCAGGTGGCGCAGCCCGCCGCCCTCCGCCCGTCGTCGCCGCCGCGGCCAGCCCCGCGCTCCGCCGTGGGCCGCTGCCCGCGGGAGCACGGAGGCGGCTCCCTGCACGTCTGCCTCGGGGCACCGCGCGCGAGGCCCCCTCGGACGCCCGCCGCGGCGAGCTCCGTCGCCTCCCCGGGCGCCGACTGCGCGGCGCCCGCGGCGTCGCCGCGGGCCGAATCGCGGACCTCGGCGCCGAGGCCGCCCTCCGAGCCGAGAGCAGGCGCTGCCCCGCGAGTCGACGAGGCGCCCAGCGCGCCTCGAGGCGCCTCCTGCGAGCTCGTGGCCGCGGCCGCCCGCGTATACGACACCGCGCGCGGGCCTCACGAGGCGGCGGGGCCGCGGTAGGGGACGCGGCGGCGGTGGGCTTCCCGCGGCAGCCCATCGTGGGGCGGGTGCCATTTGGCGTGGAACACATACTGAGGGATGGGGTCGACGGGGACCCCCTGGCGCCAGAGGTGCTTCGTCAGGCGCCACTCGCACTCACCGGACTTGGGCCTGCGGCCCTTCGAACTCACCCAGCAGTACTCGGTGGCCGCGGAGAAGCGGGTGCTGAAGTACGCGTCCGCGAACCGCCGCGGGATGATCGCGAACCCGTCCCAGACGTCCGAGAACCCGGACTTGCGCGCGTGGATCTTGTCCGGGTCGTACGCCCAGATCGGCCCCATGGAGGTGTTAAACACGGTGTCGGGACGGACGCGCACCACCCAGTCGAAGGGCGCCCCGCGCCGAGACTCCAGCTGCCTGGCGATGTCCATGCAGAGCTCGAGGCTGCGGAACTGCGCGTTGCAGTTCATCGCGTCGCCGACCCACGACTCGTTGCACGGTCGGTGGGGCGGATGGCCCTCGGGCTTCGGCGGGTTCGTCACGAGCACGTGGGGGTGCACGAGGCGGAAGGCGCGCAGGAGCCCCTGCAGGCTCGCAGCCCCGGGCGCCCTCGCGGGGCCCAGCGCGTCCTCGACGTCCATGACGAATATGTTCTGGGACGCGGTGAAGTTGAGCGCATCGATCAGGTTGCGCCTACACGCCTCGTGCACCACTGGCTGCGAGAAGGAGCGTGGCATGCCCACGATGCAGAAGACAGCGGACGCGTCGGTGGGCGCCCGTGCCGCCGCCCTCTCGAACATGGTCCTCGTGTAGAGGAGCTGCCCGTGGCTGTGCCCCCGGAGCAGCCTGACCCAGCCCGGGTAGCCACCAGGAGCCCGCGATGCGAGAAACGCGCGGAGCATCTCGTTGGCATCGGCCATGCTTGCCGCGCCGCCAGCTCGCTTGGACGCCACCAGCTTGTACCACCAGAACAGCGGCGCGAGCATCCGCTTCACCTCGAAGGGCTCACAGTAGGCGCTCTGCAGGCACAAGCCGAAGCGGGACGGCACCTGGGCTCCAGCGGCCCAGGGCGCCCAGCGCTGAAACTGGGCTGGGTCCCACCGCACCTCCACATAGTCGGCCTTCCAGATCTCGTTGCTGCATAGCATGCGCTGCTGGAACACCGCCTCCCATGCCGGGGCCTCGGGCGGGAAGGGCTCCCCCGAGGCCTCACAGACCGTGGCGGGCGACCAGACCTCCGTCAGCCGGAGGCAATGCCGCATCCAGAACTGATAGCAGAGGTTCTGGAACTGATCCGGCCACTCGGGCTCGGCGTCCTCGACTGCTGCCGCGGCCTCCGCGGAGGCAGGCGCCGCACCCGCCGCAGCGCACAGCGCGGCCGCGCAGGGGGCCAGCCACCTCGTCGCGCGGGGGCGCCCCCCGCGGCATCGGCACGGCGAGGGGGGCCGCGGGTCCGAGTCAAGAAAGGAAGACCTCTGGGATCCGTGGGGCTGCATGCTTGAACCAAGAAGAGCCTGGGCAAAAACGGCTTGAAAGAACTAACCACAAAAGCAAAACCGACCGAAACCGGCAGGCCGGAAGCAGCCCAGACGGGCGCGCAGCGACGCAGCAGCGGCACGGCAAACAGCCAAAGCCGAACAAGCCGAACGCAACCGACTGCGGCGCGGCCGAGCCAGTCGAACCTCGGCAATTAACTATCGTCTCTCCTGCTCCCTTACGGTCGGGAATGTTTGCTTAGCGTGTCCTGGCGACACGCTATGCCCTGCAAGCGGACAGCGTGTCGCTCCGCTCCGCGTGGGATGCACGCTGGGGGCCAGAGTCGTTATCGTGTCGCGCCGAAACGTGGTGGGCCAGAACTGGCGTAGCGACACATTGTCCAAAAGTTCCTGACCGTAGATGCTCGATCTGGGAACCTTCCTGGAGCTACTCGTTCCACTCATGTATCGATGCTGCGTCGGAAGTCCGTCGACTTCAGCCAAAAGTGAGTCGAACTTGAGTCGAGCTAGAGTCGAGCTACAATCGAACTGGAGTCGAACATACCCGCTAGGTGGGCCCCAGGGAGGTCTCCCGAACGAACAGATGAGCTTCCCCTCATTCCTCCTCCTCCTCCTCCTCCACCTCCTCCTCCTCCTCCTCCTCCTCCTCCTCCTCCTCCCCTCCTCCTCCTCCTCCTCCTCCTCCTCTCCTCCTCCTCCTCCTCCTCTCCTCTCTCCTCCTCCCCCTCCTCCTCCTCCTCCTCCTCCTCCTCCTCCTCCTCCTCCTCCTCCTCCGCCTCCGCCTCCTCCGCCTCCTCCTCCTCCTCCTCCTCCTCCTCCTCCTCTCCTCCCTCCCTCCTCCGCCTCCTCCTCCTCCTCCTCCTCCTCCTCCGCCTCCTCCTCCTCCTCCTCCTCCGCCTCCCTCCTCCTCCTCCTCCTCCTCCTCCTCCTCCTCCCCCTCCTCCTCCTCCTCCTCCCCCTCCCGCCGAGACCCCGAAGGTCCAGCTTGGGGTATCGCTGGTGCGGCAGCCCGAAGAGGTCCTGCCGCGCAGCCGCCGCCGCCGCCCTCGATGGCCCCCAGCGGCCCTCGGCGGCCCTCGGCGGCCCCTCGGCGGCCCTCGGAGGTCCTCGGAGGCCGCCGGAGGCCTTCGGAGGCCTCGGAGGCCCTCGGAGGCCCTCGAGGGCCAGGGTAGCGGCGCGGTGGCGGCGGCGCCGTCGCCGCCCCCGTCGTCACGGCCGAAGTTGCCGTCGCTGCCGCCGCCGCCGCCGTCACTGGCGCCGTCATTGCCGCCGTCGGCGGCTGCCGCCGCCGTCGACGCCGCCGCCGTCGCCGCCGTCCCCCGACATGCGGGCGGCCGCACCCCTGGAGCTGCGGCAGGCCTCAGGAAAACCCTTCGGAAGGACGGGATCGAAAGAAGCAGCCGAGATATTGTCACGACGCGATGCCTGCTTTCACGGCGTCAGGCGTCGGGGGCCGTCGCAGGGCCCCGCTGGTGCAGGAACCCGTAGGCTTCCTGCAGCGCACGCCCGGGGCAGGAGAAGATCGACACCGACCTGGACCTCAGAGACGCACCGCCAGGGACCAACCACATCCGCGGCCCCTAGAGCCCTGCTCTCAGAGGAAGAGGAAGCGGCATAAGCATAACCTGTTGGCGCTCCGCGCGGAGCGCCAAAAGTGTATGTGCATGGCGTGCTTTCTTCTTCAAGCTCTGGGCAACTGGGGAGCAGTGCAGAAGCACCCACCGCTCCTCGAGAGGTCGCGCGGCACGGCACCGAGGCGGTGGGTGCGGATGCGGTCCAGAGCTACTGCCTTGGCGTGCCGCGGCGGCGGCCCTGGCGACGCGCTGTGCCCTGCGAGCGGAGAGCCCATCGCTCTGCTCCGCGGACCGGGGGGGCTGGGGGGAGCTCGGGAAGTGAGCAGGGGCCGACCGCATTCCTGTAGGCCTACCACGGCATTCCTTAGAACCAGAAAAGTTCGAATGACAGAAAAGAGTTCTTAGGGCATCAACCCGATGCAGTAGAGCAAGACAGCATCAGCCAGAAATGTTCTAAGGACATGTCGCGCAAACCACAGAAGGCTCTTAGAACATTCTGTGGTGGGCATATGGGCAAGCCAGGACGCTTCGCCACTTCGTGAGGGAAAAGGAAGCATGGGAATGGGGGGGGTGGTGAGCGTGCCGCGCCGAAGCGCGGTGGGCCAGAACCGGCGGAGCGACACCAAGCAACAAGTCCTGGCCGTATACTCTGGCGGTGTACAGGCAACGCGTAAAATAAGGATGCGCGGTCAGGATACAAGGGCCTTGGAGGTTCGGCGGCAACTCTTAAAAGTCTCCCATACCATCTTGTCGGCTCTTGCGAATCGCCGCTAGTCGACGCTAGATCGACGCTCATCGACGCTGAATCGACACTAATCGACGCTAACCGACGCTAAATCGGCGCCAAATCGGCGCTATCTGGTCGACTCCCCGACGCTAATCGACGCTAGTCGACGCTGAAGGCAGAATTACGAGGGTACACAAGGCTCCCATGATTTGCTACCGAATTGGAGGGCCACGTCGACCCTTTGCGGGCGGGGCTAGGCCAGCGAAAGCAACCAAGGATGGGCCGAGGGGCAAGGATGCAAGGGTAATCTTGGAGACTTGCTCACCCTTCCTATGCGGGTGGACTGTAGGCCAAGCGTCGCCTCGGATGCCACAGCAAGCGCCGGTTCGCGAGTGGGGCTTCCGCGAGGGAGCGCCTTTTCGGTCCACGGGGCCCGCAGCAGCAGCAGCAGCAAGAGCCGTACCCATGCAGGAAAGCCAGCCACTTGAAGGGGCTCTGGCGGGGAGGCCCTTCCGCAGTGACAGGGACTGCCTGCACACGCTTAAGAAAAGGGGACTTCGAACGAAAGGGCGCGCTCGAAGAATCAGTGACCCGTGCTGGGCCTACTCGGATCCTCCTCCCCTCTTCCTCCTCGTTTTCCTCCTCCCCGTCATCACTCACCTTCTCCTCCCCGTCCTCCTCCACCTCCTCCTCCTCCTCCTCCTCCTCCGCCGCCTCCGCCTCCTCCTCCTCCTCCTCCTCCTCTTCCTCATCCTCCTCCTCTCCTTACTCTGGTCCAGTCCTCCCCTTACTCCCTTCCCTCCGCCTCCTGAAGCGCACGGTTGTGATGTTGACCTCCTCCTCCTCCAAATCTTCCTTCTCCTCCTCCTCCTCCTCCTCCTCCTCCTCCTCCTCCTCCTCCTACTACTCCTACTCCTCCGCCTCCTCCACCTCTTTTGCCTCCTCCTCCTCCTTCTTCAACCATCCTCTCAGCATCATCATTATCATCATCATCAGCATCATCATCAGCAGCAGCATCATCAGCAGCAGCATCATCATCAGCATCATCAGCATCCTCATCTTCATCTGCATCTTCTTCATCATCAGCATCATCATCCCCATCATCATCATCAACATCATCATGAGCAGCATCATCATCCCCATCATCATCAGCAGCATCATGATCATCAGCAACATCATCATCAGTATCATCATGATCATCAGCAGCAATCCTCATCTTCATCTTCATCATCAGCATCATCATCATCATCAGTATCATCATTATCATCATCATCATCATCACCATCATCATCATGACCACCACCACCACCATCATCATCATCATCATCAGCATCAGCATCAGCATCACCACCATCACAATCATCATCAGCATCATCAACATCATCGTCACCAATATTATCATCATCATCAGAATCATGATCATCATCATCAGCAGCAGAATCAGCATCATCATCAGGACCATCGTCATCATCATCATGAGCATCGTCATCATCATCATCATCACCAGCAACAGCAGCATCATCAGAATCATCTTCAGCAGCATCAGCATCATCATCAGCATCAGCAGAATCGCCATCATCATCATCGTCGTCATCATCATCCGCGGCAGCAGCGGTATCATCATCATCATCATCATCATCATCATCATCATCATCATCATCATTGTCATCATGACCACCATCATCATCATCAGCATCATCATCACCAGCATCATCATCATCAGCAGCAGCAGCAACATCACCATCAAACACAGCAACACCATCGTCATCATCCGCATCATCACAATCATCGTCCTCATGATCATCAGCGTCATCAGCAGCACCGTCATCAGCATCAACAGCATCATGATCATCATCAGCAGCAGCATCACCATTATCATCAGCGTCAGAAGCATCATCATCATCATCATCGTCAACATGATCATCAGCAGCATGAGCATCATCATCACCATCAGCATCGTCGTCATTATCAGCAGCAGCAGCATCATCACCACCATCTTCATCATCATCGTCATCAGCATCGTAAGCAACATCATCATCATCGTCATCATGAGCATCATCATCCTCGTCGTCAAAGTCATCATCATCAGCAGCATCATAATCATCCTCAGCATTCTCAGCAGTATCATCAGCAGCACCACCGTCGTCGTCAACGTCACCAGCATCATCATCACAATCAGCATCATGGTCATCATCATGATCACCATCGTCGTAAGCTTCATCATCATCAGCAGCAGCATCATCATCCTCATGATGATCATCGTCATCGTCATCGCCATCATCATCGTACTCATGATTATTACCACCATCATCATCACCGCCATCAGTATCATCACCATCATCATCATCATCATCATCATCATCATCATCCTTAAAAGCACCATCATCATCATCATCATCATCATGGTCGTCATCATCATCACCATCATCATCACAATCAACATCGCCATCTTCCTCGTCCCCATCCTCCTTATCCCCATCCTCCTCTTCCTCCTCCTCTTATCCTTCATCTTCCTCATTCTCCTCTTCATCCTCATCCTCCTCATCCTCATCCTCTTATCCTTCATCCTCATCCTCTTATCTTTCATCCTCCTCATCCTCATACCCTTCATCCTCTTCTTCATCCTCCTTATCCTCATCCTCCTCTTCTTCTTCCTCCTCCTCCCCTTCATCCTCAGAAACGGGAAGACGCAAACCAAGAACACATGACCATCCACCGCGGACTGCCGCGCCCGCCCGAAGCGTGTGGCTCGTGCGCGCCTCCGTGGCCTCGGCCATCCTCTGGAGACCTCCGGCGCCGTGCGTTTCTCGAGACGTGCCCACCAGGAACCCATCGAGACCTCCGCCCTGGTGCCCGTTTTTGGTCTGGGGGGGGTCTAAAACTTCTGGTCTGGGAGGGTTGTGACCCCCTCCCTTTTTATTACGAAATCTGGAATACCCGGGGTAAGGAGGGGGGTTCGGGCGGGAGGGTCACGTTCACGGCGGCCGCGGCCTGCTCTCGCCAGGGTGCGCCCGCGCCACCGGCGCACCCATCGCCTGTGTGCACCATAGGCGTGTAGGGCGGGGGGGTCCAGACCGGGCCCCTCCCCCCCAGGGACGATCGTCAGCGTTACCCAGGGGGGGGGCTGGGGGAGGGGGGGGGAGGGGTTCGGGCCCGGGTAACGAGCGCTACCCTGGGGAGAAACAGAAAAAAGCTCACCATCGAGACCTCCGCCCTGGGGAGAGAGGATATATATATATATATATGTATACATACATACATACATACATACATACATACATACATACATACATACATACATACATACATACATACATACATAACAAAAAAAAAAAGCTCTGCGCCGCGGACCGCCCTCGTCGATGCAACCTGGGGGACCCGAGAGCGCGCCCCATGGAAGGCCACACCACGGCGAAGACCGCGCAACCCACCGTGCTGTCGGATGCGAAAGCAGGGGCTCCTAGATGGGGTCGGAGTAGATGGGGTCGGAGGATCGCACTGCATCGCCGACACATCGGCGATACATCGGCGATACATCGCCGATGCATCGGCGACATCGGCGATGTATCGACGACGCCAGCGCGGAGAAAATCGAGCTCCACATCGGGTCTCATCGCCGATGCATCAACGATGCGGCACGATCCTCCAATGCCCTCTGCTCGGACCCAGGGGGGCCAGGA